TCAAAATGTAATAAATATTTAATATTAAATATATTATCATTATTATGTATTATTTATATTATCATTACTATGTATTATTAATATTATCATTACTTTATCACTACCGTATTTTTGACACGGTGCATTTACTTACTCCTCGTGTGATTTATGTTTTATTTATTTGTAGATGGAGTTTTCAAAATGAGTAAACTTTCGAAAAAAATTCATTTTTGTTTACTTTTTTATTATTTTGAATTTGTTTGATGGTATTTGTTTATTTTTTATTTTTTATTTTATAATAACTAAATCTTATGTATATTATAACAAATAATTTAAAATAAATTATAATTTTTATAAAGTTTAATATTTTTTTTTAAATTATACAACTAGTTTATATTAATTATAATTATCTATGAAATATTGGCAGAAGGTGCAGTTACCACACTATATTTACTGTTTTTTTTAAATTTATATAAAAATGGCAATATTTTTATTATTATTAAAAACCGCCTTCATCAATCTAAAATTGTATAAATTTGCGGGCACTTGTGATGTTTTAAGATAATTCGTTATTCTTGGAATTTTCAAATTGAAGAAAACCATTAATATAATAATTGTTTTATTATTTTTATAGCAAATTAACTCGCCAACAACCCAATACTGCTCTTTTTAACAGTTTTTTAAAAATTTGTCCCAAAACTGTTTAAATAATTTTGATATATTATTAGGTGATTTTCTTGAAAAAATAGATAAAAATAAATAATATAAAATTATCATAATGGAATTATTTTTTATTTTTTGTACCAAAAATCGTTTTGTGCATTTATTTTTTATATAAAAATTTAAAAGCAAAACAGAACAAAAATTAAAACCAAAATAATAAAGAGTTGGTGGAAAAAGTCGGCTTTAGCAAATTATAGTAAAATATAATATTTATTGAGGTTCACGATTTTACACCGACACCAGTGCACATTAATTCAATAAACTATTTTTATATCAATAACATTTTTTAAATCAAAATTGAATTTTTGTTTTCTAAATTATATAATTACAAAGTACATAGAGTACCATGAAAAATCACTGCGGCGTGAAATATTACTGCGAATTGTTATTGTCCAAAAATAATGTTATTAAGGGTTTTAAAACATTTTGGTTTAATTTTTTTGTTATTCGAGGCTGTTAAAATGAAAAACGACAATTTTGTTCTACAAAATCTTTTGAGGCTAAGTCAACAGATTGTGCTAAGAGGAATAATGGTGTTTTTATATACTTTTATGAGGGTTTTATTTTTTCCTTTTCCAATTGAAAAACAAAACGTATTTAAATTTTTTGTTATTACAAAAAGACAAATTGTAAATTATAGTTTCGGATATCCAAAAATTATTTTATCAAATAAAAATATGTTTTGATATTTTTAAAATGTGAATAAATGTACCAATAATTGATATTTATTTACCCATTACATCGATTTATAAAATATAATTTTATTGAACAGTCTATATCTCTGCCAAAATATGAACACATTTTAACAATAAAGTTTTGCTTAATATTGTATTGTTGATGAAGATTAAAAATTACCAATAAAAAATCGTCTTCATAATTTTAATAACCAAATAATCACTTAACAATATATTTTCATTTTGATGTATAAAATGAATTCCTTGGTTAATTTTATATTGATTTGTTATTAAAAAAACATTACTCAATGTCTTGTTTATGGTTTATGAAAGTCGTTGATTTTTCGATTAAAAAATTCAAAGAAAGAATCTAACCCGTCACACCATGACACAAAAAAATAATTTAAAAACAAAATGAATAAACAATATAATTATGTATTTAATAGCAACATCTGTAATATCGATATTGTCCGGTAAATACTTGACATGTTGGTTGTATGACCACTGGCTATTTTGATCGTAAAATGATGTGAAAATACATTCACAATTTACATAAAATAAATCAAACAATGAACTATTATTATAGTATAAATATAATTAAAATATAATAAACATCAAACAAGTGAAATAGTTGAATAACGTGTATTTTTAATTAACATCAACATATCAATAAAAAATTTATAATAAAACAACAATAAATTATATTTATTTTTAAACGTGAAACTATTTTTTAATAATTATTATCATATAATTAAACTAGTCAATTTATTATGGATAATTTTATTATAAATTACTATTATTTTAAAAGGGTTAATACACCAGAACCCCAAACAACTTAATTCTTTCATTTCAACAAATTATTTGGATTTCAAAAAGGTGTGATTAAATAATTATACACGACAGACTCATGCTCGTTAACCGTTTGTTATCATCAAATATATTTATTTTTTATATTAATTTATAAATATGATATGTTCATAACACGTTTTTGTATCATATCTGTATTCACTTTGTTACAATTTTTGTTTTAATAATAATATAAATGTTAATACGTTTATTCCATCTAAAATTATTCGAGTTTATATTTTTGTGTGTTTTTATATAATTATAACGATAAAACATATTGTTTTTGATGATAAATTATGTTTATACAATAAAAGTTATTAATTTGAATATTCCCTGCATAAAATAACGCGTAGCTGAAAAGAAATCAAATTAAGTTTTATAAAAACCAAAGAGTGGACTAATTAGTTAAATATACGATGTCCTAACTTATTCGTTTTTGTATTATGTTTGATGTATTGTTTAGTATTTTATGTTATAAATTGTTAAAATCAATAAAATAAGAACCAATATTTAGTTTGAGTTGTTTGGAATGTTCGTTTTTACGAATTTACCCTTGTTTTTATTGATAGCCATATTATATAACATTTTTACAAAGTAAATTATTTTTTATGTTTTACAAGCAACAATAACATTATTTTTGGCCCAATAACAATTCGCAGTAATATTTCACGCCGCAGTGATTTTTCCCAGTACTCTAACATCTGTTGAATAATTTATAGTTATTTTTAATAATAATTAACAATAATAACTTTTTATTATATTATTTTTTAATTTATTATTAATAAATTAATAAATTAATAAACTTTTAATAGTTATTTATTGTTGTTCACCAAAATTAACTCGTTCTGGACAACACTTAGAATAATGTCCCAACTGGTTACAAATATAACACACCCTCTTCTTTTTTGAGGTTTTTTAGATCCTTCTGAATATGCAACTAGGTTGGCTGTGCGTATTTGCTTCATTTTACTTACCTTTTTGGGATCCTTTATCCGTTCAATGGTTGTACTCTTAGTCATAGATACAGTTTCATCCCCAATTGTTATCATAGATTTTTCTGTTCTAGAAAATGATATTCTTTTTACATCCTCTTCGATTTCTATTTTTTCTTCTTTTTTGTCTTCGAAAAAAACTTTCTCTCCTTCAAAAACTTTTATCACCAATGGAAGCAAACTGGGGTTCTCCTTTGCGTTGGGATAAAATTTCTCAAGAACCATTTGATAATCTGTATAGGAAATAGAACCATAATTCTCAGGATTGTATATTTTGCACTCATGAGTACATACTACTCGTACGGACTTGGTTCTGTTTAATTTGAACAAACAAAGTTGAATTTTTGTCAATGATACGATATAAAAATTCACAAGATGAGGACATGGAACACCAGTTTTACTATAAGAACAACATGTAAACCCATTTTTGTCTGTTTTGTGTTCTTGTTGTTCCCATATTTTTAGCGTGTATTGATTGTTCGCCATTTTAAAACTTAAAGAAGATCAGAAACTGTTGTTTTAGTAAGACTTAAAGCGACATTATCTTCACAGAAAAGAT